AAAAAGTAAGATATGGCATTTCAGTCTGCTGTTTTTTATTTTCATTTCTTATAACTGTTAGTATTCTTTTTTATGACAACTAATATTTTCTGTTTGTCAATAGGTGCAGTCACAGGTGATCCAAGAGACTGTCATCCCCAAAGAACCGCCTCCTGAGTACGAGTTCATTGCGGATCCTCCATCAATCTCAGCCTTTGATCTGGATGTTGTGAAGCTCACTGCGCAGTTTGTTGCTCGCAATGGTCGCCAGTTTCTTACACAGCTCATGCAGAAAGAACAGAGGAACTACCAGTTTGACTTTCTGCGGCCACAGCACAGCCTTTTCAACTACTTCACCAAACTGGTTGAGCAGTACACTAAGGTGAGCTGACAGATTGTGCCTCTCTGATATTATAATTATTCTGTTTGGGTGGCGATGCTTAACTGTACCTTGATCTTGTCTCACAACATATAGATTCTGATCCCTCCCAAAGGTCTTCTGACCAAACTGAAGAGAGAGGCAGAGAATCCAAGAGAGGTTATGGACCAGGTAATCCCCTTAAACTGACTGTTTCTCAGAGTAAGCATTTAATAGTGTGTTGCTCGTGTTAATCAGCTGTCTGTCTGCACAACCATCAGGTGAGATACCGCGTTGAGTGGGCAAAGTTCCAGGAGCGTGAGAGAAAGAAGGAGGAGGAGGAAAGAGAGAAAGAAAGGGTGGCATATGCCCAGATTGACTGGCATGACTTTGTAGTGGTAGAGACAGTGGATTTCCAGCCCAACGAACAAGGTAATATTACCACAAATATTATCATCTTTAAATGTGCAAAAACTTAAATGTACCTAAAATAATTTATCTATTTTGGCGTCTCTGTTTCCCCAGGCCACTTCCCCCCACCTACGACACCAGAGGAGCTTGGCGCTCGCATCTTAATCCAAGAGCGTTACGAGAAGTATGGAGAGAGTGAGGAGGTGGAGATGGAAGTCGAGAGTGAGGATGAAGATGATGAACGGGAGGTTAGGGGTGAAGGCCAGCCCTCACAGCCAGATCAAGACACACAAGTGCAGGACATGGATGAGGTAAGAATAGATGAAGTAATTCATCAACTGTGACTTGTAAACTGTTTGGTTTGGTTTATTGAATTCATAGCGATATCGCTGGTTGCCTTCTTTTTTATGTCTTATTTTCCTTTTCCATACAAGTAAACTGACAATCTGTTTGCTAACTTCTGCGTGAAAAAAAACAAAAAACAAACCTAAGTGCTGGTAACAACATTTGCCACCCCTTCTGCTTTCTTCAGGGATCTGATGATGACGATGAGGGCATGAAGGCTCCACTGCCACCAGACAACCCTATGCCACCCCCACTGCCTCCAACTCCAGACCAGGTTATTATTCGCAAAGACTACGATCCCAAAGGTAACACCCGCTTCCTTAGATGAGGGAATACCAAGTGTGTAACAAGCTATTAATCTGTGCAATGTGTGTTAATCTCATACTTTTCTTTTCCTTTCAGCTTCCAAGCCTCAGCCGTCAGTTGCTGCTCCAGATGAGTACCTCATCTCACCAATCACTGGTGAGAAGATCCAAGCCAGCAAGATGCAGGAGCACATGCGCATTGGTCTGCTGGATCCACGCTGGTTGGAACAAAGGGACCGCAGCATCAGAGAGAGGCAGACTGAAGATGAGGTCTATGCTCCTGGTCTGGATATTGAGAGCAGCTTGAAACAACTGGCTGAGAGGCGTACTGATATCTTTGGTGTGGAAGAGACAGCCATCGGTAAGAAGATTGGTGAAGAAGAAATCCAGAAGCCAGAGGAGAAGGTGAGTACAGATATGGCTTTATATTACACTGTGTGGTGTTAAAAGAAATCCTAAGTTTAATTAAGTTGTGTTGGTTCATTTTTGATCTTTTCATGTTAACAGGTTACCTGGGATGGCCACTCAGGAAGTATGGCTCGTACCCAGCAAGCAGCACAGGCCAACATCACCCTGCAAGAACAGATCGAAGCCATTCACAAGGCCAAAGGACTGGTGGGAGAGGATGACACTAAGGAGAAAATTGGCCCAAGCAAGCCCAGTGAAATTCATCACCAGCCTCCCATGCCCACTCCAATCAGTTTGCCTAAACCAAGTCCCCCAATGACAGTGCCTCGCCCACCCCCGTCTGTGAGTTACTTTTAAAAACTTGTCATTGGTAAATTTATTAAATTAAATAATGAAACAGCCAACTTAAGTATTCTTTGTCAACAGGTGGCACCAGTACGCACCACTCTCTTGTCCGCTGTACCTGTAATTCCAAGACCACCTGTGGCTCCTGTTGTGCGCCTTGCACCAGGACAAGTCATAGCATCCATGCCTCCCATGATTCCTGCTCCCCGCATCAATGTAGTCCCCATGCCGCCATCAGCACCTCACATCATGGCCCCCAGACCACCTCCCATGGTTGTTCCAGCTGGTAAGATGAAGGTCTCCAAACAGCTGACATTTGTGACGACCCTCCTCCCATACTCTAGATGGCTCTCTTGCTGGTTTTCGTTTGTTGTGTTGTAGGAGCTAAGAGGAGGCTCATTTGTCACAGCCCAGGAGACAAATGAGCTTGCTGACAATGATAACTTATTAACAAAACATAAGTTAAATCAAACAGTACAGCATGTATTGTCAGTGATCAGTAATGTAGTGCATGTGTGGGTGCGTAGCAGTGTGTGTGGATGATAAAGAAGAAGAACCCAGAGCTGTCCTCAGGCTGAAAGAGTAAGACTGACAACTGAAAGAGAGGTATTTATACCCAGGTGTGGCTCAGCCAGCCATAGACCCTCCTCTCAGCTCCTGCAACACAACAAATGAGAACCAACAAGATAGCCATTGAGAGTACGGGAGGAGGATCGTCACACATTTCACTGACATTCAGAATAACTAAGCATTGTTTTGGAAGTAAACTGAAACTTCCTCACAGAAAGCTCATTTAAAATTAAAATAACTGCTTTTTCTTCCAGCATTCGTTCCTGCTCCTCCAGTACCTCAACCCCCGAGCTCTGCTCCTGCACCACCAGCCCACCCACCCCCACCCCATGAAGATGAGCCAGTCAGCAAGAAGATGAAGACAGAGGACAACCTTATTCCAGAGGAGGAGTTCCTTCGTAGGAATAAGGTTTGTTAGAGCAGTGAAATGTGACTGGTTTAATTTCAGTAGTTGATGCAATCTGCAGTCGGAATGAAGACAACATCCAAAACGCAGCATTCAAACTTTTTTGACAGGTCTTCAAATATACAGTGTACAGACTAACAACCAGATCAAAGTTATGTGTTTAAGTGCGTTGGTTGAGACACTATATCCTTATATTTCACTGATAAGCCAACCTCTTCAATAAACAAAGTAGGGTTAGTTGTAATAAATATGGTCAAACTACTGATTGAGCTTGCAACACCTAAGTTCATCCTACTCTCTCGCTGTCTTATCTTGAGCCTAATTTTTTTTCCTCTCCAGGGTCCTGTGGCAGTCAAAGTACAAGTCCCCAACATGCAGGACAAGACCGAATGGAAGCTGAATGGCCAAGTGCTGAATTTCACTGTCCCACTCACAGATCAGGTATGCAGATGTTGGCTTATTGTTTCCCTGTTTTTATTGAGTGTAAACCTACTACATTCTCACAGATCTGCAAATGCAATATCCCCACAGGTGTCTGTTATTAAAGTCAAAATCCATGAAGCTACAGGCATGCCAGCAGGGAAACAGAAGTTACAGTATGAGGTAAACTTTTCCTTTGATCTCTTTTTAAACTTCCTTAACCTTTTAACCGGACTGATTCAATAATGCGATTTTTTTCTTCCCTTTTTAGGGCATTTTCATCAAGGATTCCAACTCCCTGGCTTATTACAACATGAGCAACGGTTCAATCATTCACTTGGCACTGAAGGAGAGAGGTGGAAGAAAGAAGTGAGCCATGCAGCAAGGAGGAGAATATTTTACTTGTGCATGTTTTGTCACACATGTTTCCTACTCCTGTCATGTTATTTTAGTTTAATGATACTTTCAGAGTTATAAAGCGCTTTTCGTACAGTTTTGTGTGAAGAGTATGTTTCTTAAATGTTGACATAGAATGCTAAATGAATTATACTGCACCCTGACTGGAAGGCATGTCCTTACACTGTTGGTTCAACTCTTGATTTGTTCATGATTGATATACAGTATTTGGTGACTTGTAACGACAAATAGAGCCGCATAATGCGAAATAAAATAAATTAAAAAATCAATCTGCTGTTTGTTGCTTCATGATGATGTGTAAGGTTAGCAGCTGATTTGTTAGTAACAATGCAGGTCACATGCTCTGATGCACAACCATGTGCACTAAAAGCACAGGATTAGTGGTGTAGACTAGTGATTAAATAGGTCTACAGTAGACCTTTGGATGACACAGCACAGGAGAGACGTAGTGCATTTTTCCAGACAGGAGATGCACTTCCTGAGGCAGCCACTAGGGGTAACTGTGACATGAAGACTGTAAATCCAGCCCAGGACGGCAGACAGGGTCGAGGTAAAATCTGTCCAGCACACTCGGGATGACAGGACAGCGAGCCAAGACAACGTTTACCGAGAACATGACAAAGTAGACAGTTTACCAGCTTACATAGTTAATGGCTAACTATGAAATACAGGCTGACGTTATATAGCGTTAATTTGTCGAAGATAGGGTCATTGTAGAAATAGTTTTGGGCTGTGTTTGCACTAGCAGTTGAGGCTAACTTTACGTTAGCAACCCACCATTAGCTGGCTAATGTTAAATCTGGATTCAAGTTGACCTAGCTAGCTAACGCGTAACCTAGTTAATGTGGCTTTGACAGTCGTAGCGTAACGTTAGATACTATTTACAGAGAGAGCAGTAGTTGGAAAGTTTAACTCGCGTCGAGAAATCATGGCGTCGATGCTGACAACATATGCAGAGGAGCAGTTTTGACTTTGGGCTGTCAACAAGCTCGCTGACGTTAGCTGCCCTGGCTAGCCAGCTAGCTCTCTCGCTACCATGGCCAAAATAGAGAACGGCCGTCAATCGGTGGACACAAGAAGTATCAGGACTATTAGCAGCAGTCACATTGACGATGAAAGCTCTTTGGGATCAGACTCGGAGATCAATGGATTCACCAGCGACAGACAAACCGATAAATATGGATTCATTGGTGGGGCACAGCAGCATACGGAGGAGTCGTAAGTTTGTCTCAACTCTGCACTGATTTATTGCCATTGACTTCATGTGTGTTGCCTTGTCTGTGTGCTCGCAGCTAACAAAAATATGGGCAGTATATTTTTTAATCTGCTTGCGTCAGAATTGAGAACAGGGTTAGATTGTAGCAGTTAATCTAGTTATGATTACATACCACATGTTGTGTTAGTGTTGTCTTGGTGCCTCTGCACAACACAGCTCCCAACCAGCTGCGTGGCACAGTGAGTTTTTAAACCCAGTGTTTGCCTCACCCAATATGCCAAATATAAAAGCTAGAGGCAAGCAGATTATGATTGATGGACTTCATGTTGCATGATTCTTCTTCTTTCAGCCACATAAACCATTTTCTCATAGAGATATACTGCCCTGTTCTTTTGTAGGAAAAGCTGTAAAAGCATTTCACACTGTCTTGTTGTTTTCATTTGAATCAATTTATTCATAGCCTTATAGGCGTTTTGCAGTGTTTTTTCTAAGAAGGCCTTTCTTTCTTCCCGTTTTTTTTTTTTTTACTGGGGGCCCTAAGCCTACATTATAGCACTGAAATAGTGGAAGGAGTGAGTGAAAGTTGTGCCAAGCACTGGCTGGCTGGCTGGGAGCTTCCTGTTTTCTGGAGTTTTGGCAGACTTGGAGCCACAGCTCTGGTGCCCCGTTACTAGAGGGCCTCTTTTGGCTCACAGCTTTATAGGTGGTCACAAACCCTGGGTTTAACTTACACTGTTTGGCAGTGATTGAAAGTAACTCACCATTGCTTAGCTGGAGTGTAACATATTGTCGATCCCCAACATATAGCCTACAACTTTTTTTAAAACTGAAAAAGGGCAGTGCCAAGTTTAAAAAAAGCAGTCTTTGAAGACGTTTTAACCCTACAATTACAGGCTTGTGCCGATGAGATAATTACATACCTTCGTAAAGCATCAGACCTCATTCATAATGTAGGTTAGACTCGCCTACGTTTTCTTTTTCGGCTGGAGAATATTATGTGCAGTCCCTAATTTTTCTTGCCTGTAAATGTTTTGAAGTTGAATTACATCATGAGACAGTCAAATCCCCACTGCAGATCTTTGAGCTTAAACAGGCTTTGCCATTAAATCAGCTAGATCTGTGTTTGTGTCTTTTATAGTCCCCTCAAAACAAGGTTGGTAGTTGTTATTTTTGACTCAGTGCACAGTTTACTGACTGCATATGAGCGATGGCCACCCACGCAGATCTGATGGTACGAGCAGAAGAAGAAGAACAGCCTGTCTGAGGATGTTTTCCCAACATACTGCTGCTAACATCTGCCTTTTTTAAGTTTATCCAATTAAGAGTTTTATTACAGACTTACCTAATTGGAAAATATGCACACCTTTTTCAGATACCATACATTCTCATTTGGTTAAGTGTCGATTGAATGTGAAAAAATTGGAAATTTACTTATCATTTTTCCTCCGTTGTGTCTCCAGAGCTCAGGATTTGCCTCCCCAGGTGCTCAGGCAAAGGGAGGTGAAGTGGTTGGACATGCTCAGCCACTGGGACAAGTGGATGATCAAGAGATTCAATAAGGTCAGCACCAAATTCACTTCCACAAAATGTCAACCTGCTTGCTTGTATGTTTTGTACAGTGCAGGCCATGTGGATAGGCCAGATCTGAATTTGTTAATTATTTAAAGAAAAACCACTATCTTAGCTTTACCACTCACTGTCTCCAGGCAGCATTTTTTCAGACCTGAGTGGTTTGTATACATGATCAGACAAGGCAAATGACATTGCTCAAGTATTTGATTGCACAAAGACAACATGTTTGCGGAGACATTGTTTGCAGCTTCACTTGTCGAGCTGGTTCCGTGTGAAACGCTGTCAGCAATTCAGCACAGAGCTGCTACTTCAACTCATTTCCATGAGTCAGCAGCAGGGCAGGACACGACCCATCCCTTTATCATCTCGTGCACCATGTGACAAATTGACAGTCTCAGATTCAGGGTGGGGCTGTCGTGACTTCCTGTGAGACAACCATGTAATAAAGGTGCTGTGAGAATAAAGTATAGCTGTATTTAAATGCAAGACAGCTTTTCAGTGTGGAGAGCACGTTATGAAACGGAGAAGCAGTCTATTTGAGCTGCAAGTCTGTTAAATACCTGAGAAGGTCAGGGTTTCTGATCCCTTATTTTGCTTCTTTGGTTCACAATAATGTTACAGCAGACTGTCCTTGGGGAACAGTGTGCCAGTGTCATATAAAACAAACAAACAAAAGAATCCAGAAATGGTAGTTTCAGTGGTAGTTCAATCAATCTATTGTGTCATAAATGGCTTGTGCCTCCTTATGAAAGATTATAGCTGCACCACTACTTAGACATCCTGTCGGTGTTATGAAGAGGATGTACAGTTGTGCACCACTGCGCACAGTAACTACATACAGTTTGGGTACATTAAAGCAACTTGTGGTGTGTAGCATTGCACTGGAAAACTTATAAATATCAGACAAATACTTGTCAAATACATTCAAGTTAACCTTGGTAATCATTTTCAATAGGCATTTTTCACAGCTGATAGTGAGCTGTTGCTCTGGGGTTTGAACAGATAACTGCATTGCACACATGCTCAAGAAGAGGAACCAATACCAGCTGAAGGATTCAGTGCTTTTACCACAAACTGTACATACTGTTCCAGGCTTTCTTGCCTTTGGCAAGCCATTATCACACTAGCCCCTTTTGTTTCCTGCTGTCTTTGGTGATCCCTTGTTCCACTGTGGCTCAGGTAAGGCTGCGGTGCCAGAAAGGAATCCCTCCTGCTCTCCGAGGTCGTGCATGGCTCTACCTGTCAGGGGGGAAGGTGAAGAAAGAGCAGAACCAAGGGAAGTTTCAGGTCAGAGAGCTTTCAGTTTTACTTCCTCTTTAGGGGTTCTTTTATGCTGTATTTTAGGCTCACAACATTTATAAATTTCATTAGAAATTGTTACTGAAACTCTGGCCATGCCACCAGTGTTTTCGTTTGTTGAGCACCCTGATGTGCTCTACACAGGGCTGCAGCCACTAAGTTCAAAATGTAAAAGTCTAAATGTGAAAGCACACTGCCCTTAGTGCTGTTAGTGTCATAAAGAGATCTGACAGTCTCCTCTGTGTGCTTTGTCAGGAGCTGGATAGCCAGCCTGGGGACCCCAAATGGGTCGATGTGATTGAGAAAGACCTCCATCGACAGTTTCCATTCCATGAGATGTTTGTGTCACGGGGAGGACACGGGTACGCTGTCCGACATGATGTCACATTACACACTGGAATTAATGTCATGGTCCTCCTGTTTGACAGTCTATTTGATTGTTTAACTGATTTGTGTGTTGGTGTTTTGATGCTCTGCAGGCAGCAGGACCTGTTCCGTGTTCTTAAGGCTTACACTCTGTACAGACCAGAAGAGGGATACTGCCAGGCTCAGGCTCCCATTGCTGCTGTGTTGCTTATGCACATGCCTGCTGAGGTACGTCTCTCCACCACAAACGCCATAAAACTGCCGTTCTCGGCAAGTGTACCATCACCATATGTTGGTAGGCTTTGAAATAGTGTGTTGGCTGTGGAATTATTGGTTGTCTGGGCCGGTGCTGAAAGATACAGTTCTGAAGGCTTGTTAATGTTTTAGCCTGTAAAAGTGAAATCCACCCGTAAATAGGAATCGCACATGCCTTTTCTATCACATTTTACAGCTCTGTTTTAATTTCTGACCTTGAACAAGTCTATTTTTAAGCTGAACAGCACAGAGACAGACTGTGCAGATGATGTCATCTGGAGATAAGTCCCGGAGCTGCTCCAGAGACTGAATAATATTTTAACTCTTAGAGCATTACAACTTCAGTCATGGTGACTCTTTTGGGGTGGAGATGTAGATTTTCTAGCAGAGCTGCAAAACTCGTACAAAAGTCTCTAACAAAATTCTACAAACCCTGCTCATTTCTGTTTAGTATTTGTAGCTTAGTTGTTAAGCTTTGTAAATGCTGTCTACTGGTCTCTGCCACTTTGTTGCCTAGAGAGGCAAGTTTATTGATCATAAAAAAATGTTTTGATATGTCAAGAGGAAAGTTCTCTGAAACATTGTTAATTATACACATTCCATGATTAAAGAATACAAGTTGTAACTAGTTAAAGGAGCTGTATACAACATTCAGAGCATGTCTGTAACCCTTTTTACACAGAAGTCGCACTATAGGGCCGCTAGCCTACTAGTCTCTTCTTTATGCCACCTTCACATTTTTACATAGAACCAAACAACAGCAGCATCATGCCGCCCCAGTGTCTGATTTCAGACAGCATGCCCTCATCCCGGAGGGAAAAGAGACGTGATGGGCGTGACATGTAACACAACAGTGCAGCCTCTAGTGTGACAAATAACATAAGCATCACCATCGCTTACACAACAGTGGTGACATAACATGGCAATAACAACAATTTACTGTCCCTGTTATATGGTGGCTGATTTCGCCCTCTGCTCGGAGGGTAAGGAGCTCCTGGATCTCATTGTTTTCCCAATTTGCAGGTATTTTCACCTGCTTTTCTTTTTCATTGAGTTTGCTGCTTACTACTGCTAGCTGCTTTTTAAATCTCCTGGTGGTGGGTTGTACCCATGACACGTTTTCGAAACAAACAGAAGGTGGCCGCTATGCTTCCATGACACGCTGTCCTGAAATCAGTGTTAACAGCCGTATTAGGGCAATGCAGAGTGGCAGCGATTAGCTAGGCCATGGGATACACATGCCCTAACATGCTAATAAGCATGGACTACAACACACAGAGAGCGCTAACTTCATTCTTTGTTCAGGAGACTATTATCCCACTATATCTCGACACAGCAAATTGTTGTTTGCTGATACATTAATCTAAATAATCTAATCTAAATTTTGCATACAGCTCCTTAAAGAGATACTTTGCCAATTTTCAACCAGGTCTGTGTCAGTGCAATGTGGGCAGTGTGTGCATATGAACTGTATTTGACCCCAGTCCCAGCAGCTGCAGAAACGCCCTGCTTGTGCTGTGAGCAAGAGTCTACTGGATGACACAAAATGACGCATTTTGTGTCATCCCTGATATGTTTAATGTTATTTGGCAGCAGGGCAGGGAGCTTCGGGAACTGGTAGCACAGGGGGTTCCTTCACACTATTCATCTGCACACACTGCCCACACCAAAGTGACACACACCTGGTTGAAAATCAGCAAACAGTGCCCTTCAATTAACCAACCGACATGATGAACATTAAAAAAAATGTAGAGCATTCGGATGCTGCTGACGTGCTTGCATCCTAATAATATACATAATGTAATGATTTAGTTTCTCATATTAATTTTACAGTTCTTGTCTCTGAGGTGTGAACATTAATTTCTCTTACACCTGTATGTTATGCAACACACCCAGAGTTTTTTTTACAGCAGAATAAAACAAGTGGCTAGATTTTAGCTTTTATTATCAAAGTCAAAATTTCCAGTATTACCTGCCTCCCATGTGAACACGGGGAAATGAACAGTTCCGCTTAATTTCCTGACATCATCTGTATGTGTTTCCACAGGATGCCTTCTGGGGGCTGGTCCAAATCTGTGAGAAGTACCTTCCTGGCTACTACAGTCCTGGCTTGGTGAGACTGACACACATACAAGCATGCGTGATGACATCACATTTCACTCTATTCATTTCAGGTGTTGGACAGAGGAAGGAATATTACTTCATCTGACTTAACTGTTACAACAACTATTATCCAGATGAACTACCTGGGCTGTGGCTGTGATTACAGTAAAACTGAATGCATTTTTGTTGCTGCAGAGTGTGCAGTGTACATGTTATAACTTAGTGATGAAATCAATGGGGCGTTGCCAGTCTTGTCAGACCATAATTTATCATTGGATTACTTACTTGCTTACACATTTTGCCTGATGATTACTGTTCAACATTGTTTTGTTATTCTGTGACTGACTTTAAATAGAGACAAGACTCACTAATGAAATGTTTCCTTAGAAAAACAAACAACAGCACGATGCATTCGGCCAGGTTTATTTTTAATGGATGAACATCCACGTGTGCATCAGGTTTCAGCCCCAACAATACAGAGTACAATGGCTTTTGTTTTCTCCGTTAACGCTTCCCTACCTGTGTCTCCTTCAGGAAGCTATACAGTTAGACGGAGAGATCCTGTTCGCTCTGCTGCGACGTGTCTCTCCGCTAGCCTTCCGCCATCTGGAGAAACACAAGATCGACCCCATCCTCTACATGACTGAATGGTTTATGTGTGCCTTCTCCAGGACACTGCCCTGGGCCTCTGTGCTGCGTGTCTGGGACATGTTCCTCTGTGACGGTAACAATGGCTTTATAGCACTGTATTTGCAGTAGTGCCAGATGTTGTAGAACTTCTTCACACTGGTGCTCAATCATGTGGCTCTTCTCTTCTTCCCAGGAGTGAAAATAATCTTTCGTGTGGGTTTGGTGCTGCTGAAGTGTATGCTGGGGACCCGGGAGAAGCTGAAGGCTTGCCAGGGACAGTATGAAACCATGGAGCTTCTCAGGGCCATCGAGACTCGATACATGCAGGAGGGCTTCCTCGTCCGAGAGGTAACAGCAGAGGAGTAGCAAAATGGTGTAGCGACACAGGAGACTCTTAAACCAGAATGCATGTTCCAAGTCACTTGTTGGCAGGTGTTCACCTTGCTTAATTGTTCATGTATGTGCCAGCTGCAGAAGGAGTTAGTTGAATATATCCATCAAGGGCTGAGCCATATAGAAGAACACACATAATACTTTAAATATTTTCCTGTTTCATCCTCATTATATTTTTCCTTTTGCTTATCTACTCTGGAATGCCAGGTTTTGTGTCAACACACATTATAGTGTATTGTAATTTCAGTATGGTTGTTTTTTTTCAGCTGTTGGGTAGCTGTTTACTTGTATAAACAACCTAAATCTACCTTAAGAAGACACTATGGGTCTTACAGTTCGTGTTGTTTTGGATAAGTTAGAAAATGTGGCAGAACACAAAATAATACCAGATGTTTTTGGTTTTGGAAGATCTTGTGCCTTACAAAGGTCCATCTTTGTTTACGTCCTCCAGCACAATCTGTCCAACTACAACTAGCCAGAGACAATGACGTGTGTGAGATATATTTGAATGGAATGCAGTAGTTAGAAAAAGTACATTGAGAAAAAGCAAAGGCATCTCTTATTTTTATATCATAGAATGTTTCTCCATAATAGCATTACATATGGCAGGTTGAGATGTAACAAAGCACATACTGAGGTTTGTGTAGAACGTCAACAGACAAAGTCCTTTTACGCTGGTATAATCCTTAAGCGATGTAGTGGAGTGTTGTGTCACTCGTGGGAACAGTGGGTGTTTAGAAAATGCAGCCAAGGAAACGGCAGAGACTCTGTGAGCGTGAATTGAAGTGATACAGAGACAAATTGACCAGAGTGCTGGTTGGTCAGTGTCTGGTTCCTGTGCCAAGCTTTGTATGAGTCTCTGTCCAGGCTAACAATACCGCCTCTTATATGAAGCGTTGTCTCGACTGTGGGTGACCATGCATCCACAGCAGCCCTGAGGCCCTTTGGCATTTACTGACAAAGTTCACATTTTTAACACAATGGCCAAACTTGGAAGGAACTTGTTGTATGTTCCAGCAAGGGCTTGTCTTTTTCTACACATTTCCTTTGAATCTGAATATGCCTGTGACCTGGTGACATGTCTGTTCCTGTTGCAGATTCTAGAGGTGCCAGTGACAGCACGAGATGTGGAAAGGGAGCATCACACCCAGCTGAAGCGCTGGAAGAAGAACCGCGGAGAGCTGAACTTCAAATCCCCCCCAAGGATGCACGGCGCTCGGATCATCATGTTGGCCGAGCCGCCAAGGCGCCAGGACCTGCAGCAGAACCCCACCATCGTACTCGAGGTGCCTCAGCCCACGCCGCAGCTGAAGAAGGGCAAGGAGGAAAAGAAAAGCAAGAAGAAGAAGAGCATGAAGAAATCCCAGCAGGTTGTGGAGATCCCTAATCCTTACTCTCTTCCCACTGACGTTCCACCGCCACCTTCAGAGCCACCAGCTCCACCTCTGGTCATCAGTGAGACGCCACAAACTGTGCCACAAACTGTGCCACAAACTGAAACAGACCCACTTCACCAGCAGCAAGCACCTCCTACAGACCTTCCCCCTGCCAAAGAATCTCCTCTTCAGCGATCCACACAAAGCCTTAGCAGCACAGAGCAGGATACATACCTGTAGCTCTACAGCAGTCAGTATGTGTGAGCGTGTGTGTGTGTGGATGAAGCACCAGCACCCTTCAACAAACCACCAGCCAGCCTTGCCAAGGTCTATTATTCTAATGTTGGACTGTTTTTGTATTCATTTATTCATTGTAGACACCATTTTGCCTATGATATTATTGATACACACTAAAGCATCTTTGTTACGTGTAAAACTACGTTGATGCCTACGCCATTTTTCCATTTGAAGCTGATGTTACCGCCTGTTGATGCTTGATGCTCTCATTCAGACCTTAAAGGTGCAGTCAGTCTAATCCAGTACACTTTATGTCACATCCAGCAAATACCTCCTCACGGTCTGTGTTTGCACTGGGGGAACAAATCTAGTGTGCATACGCAGCCCTGACTCTGTAAGTGGTAAACAAAGCAAGCCACAACACTATTTTAGTCAATCTGCGATAGGTGCGTTTGTGCTTGTGCACAGGACAGGAGAAAGGCCATGGATGTGAAAGGAGATACATGCTAATATGCTGAACTCCATAGCTCGAATATCCTCCAGAATTGCTGACTCCACCTTCAAGTCTTACGCTTCATTTATTCTTTTACGTCTGCGCCTATGAGCCTATGAGGAGCTGGTGCTGGCACCCTATGTGCACCCCCAGGCACACATAGTATCGCAGCAGATTGCTTGCAGTTTCACACAGGAGTGTTGGGACCAGAAGTGCGTGGAAACCCCACCTCCTTGTACTGATGTCCTTCTGTAATGTCTGTGGGAGCTCTGCGCAGGCTTTTCCACAGAAGTATGTATTAGGCATTAGTATTCCGTTTTCAAGGGAGACATGTTACTGTTATTGGGAGCAAAGTCATTTCCTCAGTGCAGTGTGGTTTCAAGGTTTAAATGGGACTTCAGAGGTCTTAAGCCATTATATTTCATTAGGGGTTTTGTCCACAAGAGGGCAGCATGGCAGAGGTTTCAGCTGTTACATTCCCTGTTAGTACAGCTGATCACAGCAGGCATGGGATTCACTAACTTTGGGAGGTATTATTCTGAGATTGAGCTTCTGTTTTGTTTTGTTTTTCCAGTTAGGAAACTTGTGCATTTCATGTGTTATATTTTCATTCTTTGAATTGCAAATCATCTTCCTGAATCCACGAGTGAGTCACACCACACTGTGTTCATTCCAGTCTTTTCCTACAAGCACTATTTATTGAAAGAACAGTTGAAACATGAAATTTGTTGTTTGTGCATGCCCTGCTTGTACACAAATGGTCACTTTTTTTGCAGAGCCTGTTGAATTGATGTGGTTTATACTCCGATAATCACTGTGCCAGGCACCTCCAGCCACTTTAAAGCAGCAGTAATTCATGTTACTTTGGCAGCAGAGAGGAGAACGCTGGACATTCCTCACTGTATGACACATTCCTGCCTTGTTAAAAGCTAATCAGTCTGAGAGATGTCTCTTGCCAAATGCAAATCTGTATAAGGAATGTGTTTGTGCATGTGTTTCCTGTGACATCTTGGCCAGTGAGTGCTTGCAAATCACCTAATGGTGCTGACCTTCCTTTTGGTGTTACTTAAATATCCAATTGGTGCCAAGAAGATCTTGTGGTGTGTTGGTTCAGTTTTGTTTTTAATATTTTGCTAGAATTTCCAAAGCAGATCAAGACTGTGTTGTTCTGAGATGACCTACGACTGCTACCGGTGACCAGGCTTATTTTCTTAGTACAGTCAAGGAATCAAGTGATTTCAAGGTTTTTTCAGAGGGTTATTCGTAGCATTTCTCCCTGGTTTATTTCTTTGGGAAATATGGAAACATGCAGGGGTTATGTGGCCTTCTTTTCTGTCAGAACATATTGGACAATCTTTTTTTTTGTGACAGTTCATCTGTTTTCTAACTTTCATAACAATGATAAAAGGTAAAGGGAGTTTTGACAAACATGGGCACACGTGTAAGATGTGTTTGTGTATATAATTATATAAAAAAAAAGTCTGCTAAAAATGCATGTTGGGTCAGTTATAAAAAGCAACGGGGTTTAAAAGGATGACACAATTTCAAGCAGCCACGTGCCTGTATGCAATAGTTTTTTAGTTGCTTATTATACACACCTCACTTTTTGCAGATATTTTAATTTAATGCTCATTGTGTAGATACGACATGTAAAATAACAATTTGTTTTGTAATGAAATCTATTTTTCAGTGTATAATGCTATATTTTATTGAGCAGTCAGAAACTGCAGAGGGGACATCTCTAAATCAACTCAAGTGTAGGACAATTTATTTTAGATCAATATTTGTAACACTAGAAAAATCTGAAATTTGGGAGTAACTTTTGCAAGTGAAAATGTTTGTCTTACTCTGAAGACGGATTGGTATTATTTTACCATCACATTAGGATAATAAAAGAGATGTTTGACAACCATGGGGCAGTATGCATCATCATGAGTTTAAATTTTACAAATAAATTTTTGTGTAAAGCCAATTTAAAACCTCCTGTGTCATGTTTTATTGACTACCATAATGCAGGTAAATGTCATGTTTTCACCACCAGGTGGAGCTCCAGAGTCATTGCTCTGAAATGAAGCAGTGGTTTACTGGCATGGTGTTGTGGCACACTGGGGTGGGGCCAAAAGTTCCCCAGGATGTGTTCATTTATATCTTTTACTGTAGGTTTTTCATGTTTCACCATATGAAAAATTAAAAAGACACGTGAATGGCATTTTTGCATTACTATGTCAGACACATCAAAATGGAGGACATAGGCAATCTTACATTTGAACAACACTGTTTGAGATGCAGTAGGTTAAGATTGGTGACAGAACTTTGAATAATGTTTTTGTTGTTCAAGTTCTATTTGCCTGCGCAGCAACATAACTTAAAAACAGTAGGTTTGTTAATTTCTTATGTTTTATAACTTTTATATTAGTGGGGCGGCATAGCTCAATATTTTTCTAGAATCCTTCAATTTTGTGATAAAAGCACCAAATTTGGCAGATGTGTTGACATATTTAGAACAAATCTGGACATTGCGGCATCAGAAACTCGCCCCCTGGTGGCCAAAGCAGGCAATTGAATCCTACCTGCCCTTGGACCCCTCCCGTTAATTGGTGGAGCCAATGGTGGTTAATTTTAGTGGATTATTTTTATACAAATACCCAGCATTGATACCTCTGTGCAATTTCTTCACTTACACTGCTCTGTGCTCTCTAGTGTTCAGATATCCTGAATTAATTGAACTAAATCTATTTACAAAATGCACATGAGAAAAAGTTTAAAATCTACAGAGGATAATATGCATTCAATGTGAAGATTGAAAGAAAAGGAGTATTAAATAATCCACTACCAATTTCATGGCCTCCTGATTATGGTGACAGTAACACTGTGATCTATGAATGTTTTTCCCCCTTTTTTTCTTCTTTTCTCATAATAGTCAAGGCCTCATTGTAAAAACAGCTCTATTATTAAGGTTCCACATTGTTGCAGATGGCTGCACTAGTTTGATATCATATGTTCAAACTGTTACTGTGTAATTGTTAAGTATGTTCACTGAATATTGTTAAATGGCCTTATAAACTATAACTATAACTATAAATCTCACCATTGTGTTGGATGTCTTTAATTTACTATTGTCCTACATTAGAATGAAACATATTTTTCCGTTTAACTGGTCTCTAAATTATACTTGTGGTGCTGAAAACATGGTAACAGCAGCTTGGGGGTGCCCAAAGTGTTCTATTCCATTATATTAAGCTATAAATGTACCACATTTGGCACTTTTATCGCAAAAATGAACAATTTTTTTAGCTATGCCACCCATTTTATTAGTTTGTTAGCAGAATTATACAAAAACTGCCTGACCGATTTTCACAAAATTCGGTGGAGGGATGTAACACATGCCAACTTAGAATACATTAAATTTTGGTGTTGATCCAACTCAGGGGGCGTGTCCATGGGCCACCCACACGTGGCCGCCCTTTCACTTCCATTCATTTTTTGGATGAGGATTACGCGAAACTGTCCAACCGATTTTCACAAAACTTCAAATGGGAGTGAATCTGGGGTTGAATTTTATTTTTGCTGCCACGAGTAGTTACAAACAGTAACTAACAATCCTGCATAGTATAGCCTACCTTTCAGATAATTCTTATAACAACACACAATGTTACACATGCGTATTGTGAGTGTGGGCATGGGGGATGCCATAGTTCAAATAAAAAGTTTGACATTTTGGGACATGTGCTTATTTGTCTTGCGGAGAGTCAGATGAGAGATATTGACTGTTCACCACTGTTATGTTTATACAGTGAATATAAGCTGCATCCAGGAGCTGGTTAGCTTAGTTTAGTACAAAGAGCTGTTGGGAGAAGTTTGTCTCTCAGGCTTTCTGCCAGAAAAGGAATTTTTGGTGAAGGTTAGGAAGAATAAAAATCATGATTTAGGTTCAAATGAATAGATTACCGCTGCAGGCAGATTTCTTGCATGTGCGCACAAAGACAGGAAACACCAGTCTAATTATCAACAAGTTATACAAGCTGTAACAAGTTAACAGGTTATATCTCAGCTGTTTAATGTATTAAAAACCCGTTATATGGTAGACTGTTCTTGATCTTCATTACTGAGGTTTTGAGGTGCTGGTATGTGGATTTTGTTACCTTTGGGCAGAGTCAGATTAGCTATTTCCACTGTTTCCAGTCTTTACGTTTAGCAAAGCTAACCAGCTGCTAGCTCCGTGCAGCTACACATTTAGCATACAGCTATTTTTAGTGACATCTATTTTTTCCCCATAACTCTTGACAAAAAAAAAAGCGAATAAGGATATTTCGCAAAGATGTGGAACTTTTCCTTTAAAACATTTGGAAACCACTGAAGGTGTGGTACCGCAAGGTACTAAAATAGGAACTTGGTTTTTTTAACTTCCTAAATAATGATGATTAAATCAGTTTCATTATCACTGTTAGTATAATGACTCTGCAGTGATTCATTTTTATGTCCTCCACTGTGTAATTCTGCACTGTCAAATGTACATGAGCATGACGAAAGGACTACATGGTACAAAGTCTTATCAAATGGGAGTCCATGGTCTGGTGTACATCTGTCTGGGCACTCTGCTAATGAAAAAAAGATAGTGACGCCACAGTAGGAGTGTATCCATTCATGACACAAATATGTGACCTTTCTCCTCGAAGGCTTCTTCTTCAGCTACAACAGCTTCGCCCCTAAAGAGGTCATTCCTGATCTCTCTCCTCGTTTAGACTAATAACAGGTTGCTGTTCTTTTCTTAATTCACTGCTTGAACTGCCAAATGCCTCTTCTCTCCACCTCGAGGTGTGGGATATTTGCAGGTTTTGCCCGAGGCTTGAAAGAGTTCATTGCAAATTGCTACCTTGATGACCTCACAAGGCCTGCTAACTCGTTTCTAATCGTCCAGCAAGCTGCAGCTGTTGACCTCTGGTCATCAGGGGCTCAGAGGAGTGATTTCAAGAGAAGGTAGCAGGTTGCGTGTGATGTTGTTGGGGATTGTCATTGTATTTACACGTACTGTTTGTTTTATATGATCAGTCTAACTGCTGGTTGGCTTGGTGTGTCAATATAATTAATATCTCACTTGAAAGAGAATACCTGTCAATAGCTATTAATCATACTTGCCCGCTGTGTCATTCCACTCAGGCCATTATGGACCATTATGGAATCTGTTGATGTTTGCCCACATGAGGCACAGCAACAGTTAATGGTCTAGGTCCCAAAGGAATGCATGCACCGTCACGCTTTCCCTCTTTGCATTGGACACCTGGTCCTCTTTCAGTGCCACCGTGCCATTTACATCTCAAAGGGGGACGACCAAGAAGGCTCTCTCTGTGCTCCCTTCCTTACTCCAGAAATGATCTGATTTATCTCTTCATCAACGGAAATATATGCCTTTAGAGGGCCATCCCGCCTCTCTCATCCCCAGCTCACCGAGATGGGAGAGGGAGCAGTAAAAAGAGAGACTTGTGGCCCTCCGTGTGATCCCAGACCCAACGGACCCCTGTCACAGTGCTTGATTCATGTGATGCGGGTGACTTTTTCTCTGCTCCCAGGCTCAGTGTGTTAAGGCACAGAGGGGGTGGATGGCATAACGCAAAGCAAAGGCGCCTGTGTTCCTGAGGTATCCGATTCCCACGTTTGATGGAGCATGACAGGTTGGCTCAGGTCAAATTAAAAGGCCGCAGTAACAAATATGAGGGCAAACATTGTGATCATCTGTGCAGGTGAACTTTCCGTGGCAGTGGGAATAAAAAGTTATTTATTGCAGCAGGGGAAAACATTAGTCTTTGTGGCATTACGAGGGAGGGGGGGGGGATCCCTGTGCGAGAGCCAGGGTGGATAATTGAATCATCCCTGTGTTGTTCTTTCAGTGTGGACCTCTTATGTTCATCTGCCAAAAGGAAAAGCCCTTACTTTTATTCTCCTCTCTTAGCATTATGGATGACTGTGTTCTTTTCCACATTATTACTGCCCTTTATTTCTACAACACTGTACGTCATGAATACTACTAGTCTCCAGTCTCTGGCCCTGCCATGACAGCCCTCTTTCCAGACATAGCTTTGTAAATATACTCCATCCTCTGGCTCCTGTCAGCTATGTCTGACCACCCTTAACAAAGAAGACTGTTAAAACATTAGAAGGCATTTATAACATTATTTAAGTCTGGAGTGGTGCCTTCAGGCTCAGATATTCCATCATGCGATATACAAGGCTCTGTGTACCTTGGAAATGTAATTTTGGCACCTATGCTGTTTCCACTGTATAATTTTGCCTCCATTTATGGTCTACTTATATAAATGCCTAATACTTACCTGGTAAATTTAACATGGAATAACAACCCAAAATCCTCACGGGTGCATTTAGCAAAGTGCTTTAAATGTCATCACAGTTCTCATTCCAGCTATTCCCTGTGGACACACACCCCATATTAGGGACCGTATGAAAATTATTCAGTGCTGAACTTTATGTTTGACTTTGACCCTCCTCAGGGTTATTATTATTTGGCGTGTGCCCTTCCCTAAAATAGGAAAAAAGCAACATCCCACCCCCTAATTTTCAACTGAACCCTGATTTTAAATTTTATTATGGAATAATAATTTTCACAGAGCCCAAATTGCCTTCAGGTGTAAAATTAGTGATCGCCAAAATGATGGGGGGGAAAAAAGTACAAACATGTTCTGTTTGCTTCTCTCTTTTTTGAACATAGAGCTACAACATGAAAAGTTATTACCACCCTCACTGAATACATTACACGCATCCACACAAACACACACATATATACTGGTCACTGTTATCTTGTACCTTTGACCTCTGACCCCGCAGATATCACTGTTTCTTTTGTGGTTTCCCACATAAAATGATACACAATAAGCAGTTGTTATTTAGGATCAATATTCAGCTGTAATGCTCTGTAAATGTTTATTTCTTTGCCAGTGTCCTGACATTGCATTGTGGGAA